ATGTTTCCTGCAAATAAAGCTTCAAGGGCTCCGGGAGAAGTGCAGGTGGTGTTTTTGTAATTTTGTACTTTTTTTTTAAAATCAAGGCATAATTGACATATAACAATTATGTGAGTTTCGGGCATACTACGATGTAAAGATTTGATGTTTGTATACCTTGTAAAATGATCACCACAGTAAGTCTACTTAGCATCCATCACCACACACAGAGTCATGTTTTTTTTCTTGTGATGAGAATTTTAAGATGTACTCTCTTAGCAACTTTTATTTTATTTTAATTAATTAATTTATTTATTTTTATTATTTTTTTATTATTTTTATTTTTTAAAGATTTTATTTATTTATTCATGAGAGACACACAGAGAGAGGCAGAGACACAGGCAGAGGGGGAAGCAAGCCCCCTGTAGGGAGCCCAATACGGGACTCGATCCCAGGACCCCAGGATCATGACCTGAGCCAAAGGCAGATCCTCAACCACTGAACCACCCAGGGGCCCCTCTTAGCAAATTTTAAATATACAATATAGTATTATTAACTACAGCCACTATGCTATGTGTTACATCCCCAGGACTTATTTATTTTATAATTGGAAGTTTGTACCTTTTGGCCCTCTTCACTCATTTCACCTACCCCCCCACCTGCCTCCTGCCTCTGGTGACCATCAGTCTCTTCTCTGTTGTCTATGAGTTTGGGTTTTTTTGCATTTTTTTTTTTTTTAAGATTTTATTTATTCATGAGAGACACAGGCAGAGGGAGAAACAGGCTCCATGCAGGGAGCCTGACGTGGGACTCAATCCTGGGTCTCCAGGATCAGGCCCTGGGCTGAAGGCGGCGCTAAACCGCTGAGCCACTCGGGCTGCCCAGGGTTGTGATTTCAACCCAAGAATTTGGGAGAGACCAAACATTTAGTCTAGACCAGAGTTGTTATGAAGGTTAATCTTAATAATTAATATTTGTAAGGTTTTAGAACGGAGTCAACACCATGCCTGCCTACTAGTTACTCCACGAGTTAGGCAGTGATGGCCCCTGTTGCAGAAGAGGAAATCGAGGCACCGAGAAGCCACATGACATGCCTGGGTCACACAGCCAGTGGGTAGCAAAGGCAGGATTTCAAACCAGTTTGCTCAGACCCCAGTGGAGTCTGGGCTCTGCAGCCAGTTCGTTGTGTGGTCTGCAGCCAGTTGTTTCAGCCTTCTCAAGCCTCAGTTTCTTCATCTGTAAAACAGGGATGGTGGGCTTGCAGTATGACAAAATCCGTAAGGTGACAGGGCCAGGCCAGGCCTGCTGTATAGTTTAGAACTCAGTGAATGGTCGGTGTCATGTCCTTGTGACCTTCTAATTCTCCAGAGTCCAGCACCAGACTATGGCACACTACCCAGTTGCCCCAGACCCCGTCACTTGCCCCTGGGATGGCTGCATTTCCTAGGGAGGCTGCTCTTTCAGACTCCTGGAATGATGGGAAGCCCTGGAGCCTCTGCTCCTGGGAGTCTCTTCCACAGCGAGAGCCTGTCCGCCTGCCTCTTCTCCCTTTTTGCTTACTGCGTGTGCAAGCGTCTCTGGCCCTAGGTGCCCAGGGCTTAGGTGTCTCAGGAGGCATTTGCCTTGGATTTGTTGCCACAGTGTCTCTCCTTGGGGCTCACTCTGGGCCAAACGGTGTATTCTTTTTCTTCTTTTTCTTTTTCTTCTTTTCTTTCTTACTTTCTTTCTTTTCTTTCTTTCAAGACTTGTTTATTTATTTTAGAGAGAGCTTGTGCATGCATGCGTGCACAAGCAGGGGGAGGGGCAGAGGGGGAGAGAGGGGAAGCCGACTACCTGCTCTCTGGACCCTGAGATCATGACCTGAACCAAAACTAAAAGTCAGACGCTTAACTGACTGAGCCACCCAGGCACCCCAAGTGGTGTATTGGTCAATTGTACTTGACTGTCAGCCTCATTAGACTGAGGCCTGGTTTTAGCAGGGTTCTGGGGCATGTACAGTGCTTGCCATGTTGCAAGTGCTCAGCACCCAAGGGAGGAAAGAGCAATGGGCACACATCACCTGATTGCTCGGCCCTTCTGTCAGTATCCTGTTAGGGGGCAACAGGAATGGAGTACTTGTCCACCTGGGGCCACAGGTGAGAAGGGGTGCTAGAGGAAAAGCCCAGCTATTTATATATTTATGGCTGGCTTTGAGCTCAGGAGCCAGGCAGGCTGGAGGTTCACATGGGGGTTTGGGCAGGAAGGGGGCTGGCCAGCCCCCAGCAAGGAGTTTAGGGACTCTGGAACACCCTCACTCTGGCCCACAGACCCACAGTCTCAGCAGGCATGTTCTTGGTGGGTACAGGTGTGGGCTCCCTCAAGTTCCTCTACGCTGGTCTTGGGAGACTGGGCCCTAACCAACATCTGTTTCCCCTTCTAGCCCTACTGCAGCTGCCACTGAGAAGAAGGCCGTTTCGCCAGCTCCTCCCATAAAGAGGTGGGAGCTGTCCAAGGACCAGCCTTACCTGTGACTGCACCCTGGGGGCACCTGGCCGGGCCCTCAGGGCCATCTGGGTGCTTCCCCTCCTCGTATTCCTTCCGGGAGACCACGACTTAATTTATGACAAATACACCTAGCTCTCCAGTATTACTTCTGTTTTTAACGTATGACTTACCTGGATTTCCTGGTGAAGCTGGTGCTGAATCTCTTAACTCTGTCAGCACTTGAGCAGGGGAGGGATAGTGCTTCTCGCGCTTCAGAGTGCCACACTGTCACTGGGCACGGAGTCTGATGACATGAGGTCCAGTGTTGTCACCAACCCTTCTCTGAGATCAGTAGGGTGGGCTCCAGGACCGGTGGGTGTTTGGGGGGCCCGGACTGTGAAGGACAGCGAGGCCGAACACAAACTGCTCCCTTAGATTTCTCAAGTCCCCATAGGTGTTTTTCATGTGGACATGGGCCAGTACCCTTCCACTGCCACCCCCATCTGACCTCGAGCACCCTGCAGCTTGGTGGGGATGACAAGACAGCAGGGCAGCTCACAGGGAAGGCTCATCTGGGACAGGTGAGGAAAGGCCTCCCTGAGCCAGAAACCTTTCTGCATGGGCCTGGGAGTGAGGTGGAGTCAGCCCAGGAGAGGAAGGGGCTGTTCCTTGTGGAGGAATGAACATTTGAGTGAAAGCCAGAAAAGAAGCAGCCCAAGTCTGGCTGCAGGAGCAATGGGGAGCCATGCAGTAACCTCAAGTAGGGGTGTACCATGGCTGCCCTATGGAAGAACCCCACAGACTTGCAGTAGGTGAAGATGAGGTGTGTGAAAATCAGGGTGTTCTCCAGAGCACAGAGCAAGGCAGGTAAGGGTCCCAGACCCAGATGTATAATGGAGCCCCAGAGTGGGTGGTATCAGTGCTAAAACCTCATCAGTGGGGAAAACCCTGGGTTGAAGCTTCCGGGCCAGGCTTTCTGGAGGAGTTGGGACTCTAGTTGGAGCAAAGGATGAGTCAGATTCAGAAAGGAGATAGGGAGGGAAAGGAAGTCTGTGCAGGGTGTCCTGAGGTCACCAGGAAGGCAGCCCTGAGGGCTTCCACAGATGCAGACAAGATATGCCATTGAAGGTTTCTGAATAATTTTAAGACCCAGACTTGAAATTTCACAAGGGAAAGAGGTCTGACAGCTGAGCTTTTCTGTGTGCTATGTCCTGTTCTGAATGCTTTCAGGATCTCTGCTCCTTGGTGGAGCAATCTTGTGAGGTCATTGCTGTTGCCACAACCTTGGGACAGAAAAACAGGAATGGGAGCACTGGAAACCCTCGCTGGCTCCCTGAAATCTGGTGTGAACCTGGCAGCTGATAACTCTGCCTAACTGCTACAAATCAATGGCTTCTTCAACTTTTCTCCCTGCACCTCAGAGACCTTTGAGCCTCAAAGATGGGATGCTCCCCACCCATGTAGTGCCGGGTCCTGTTTGTCACCTTTCCACCTGCCTCTGCACCTGTACACCTTTACCTCTTACCCATTTCCTCTGGGAATCTGGGAAATTCTGAAACAACAGCAATAAAACCCAACACACGCATACATAATATACACACTCAAAAAGCAGGTGTAACTTTCAACATTCTCAAATCGCGAAACATGCCAACAATCTGCAAACAGAGCCCCTTGTGGGAAAAATCTGGATGCTGTAGCGTTGCTACCCGGGAAACGGGGTGATAGATACTTGCGCGCCTGTCAACACTAGGGAACCAACACTTGTCTGGGGTTGTGCTGGCCGACAGACCCGTTGCTGCTTCTGAAGGCAGAGCTATAGATAAATACTTAGTCTTAAGAAAACAGAGCCGCTGATTGCACAGAAAGCCTGCAGGACGCCGAGCGCGCGAAGGGAAAGCCCACAGGGGACCTTTGCTATCCTGAGAAGAATCCTACCCCGGCGAAGAGGACTAAATGGGGCAGTGGGCGGGGGTGAGCGCCTCCAGGTGCGAGGGACAGGACCTTGATGGAAGCCAGGGACGTCTGGAAGTGTCTCGTTCGTTCATTCACTAAATATGTGACAGCCTGCTACTGTGGCAGCCGCTGTGCTGAGGCACGGGGGATGCAACGAACACCACAGCACTGCGGTCCTGCAGCGGACGCTCCAGTGGGTCACCGAGACCCTACATCAAAGTTAGCGAAGTGGAGAGTCCCGGGGCCTTGGAGAAGCTGGAGGCGGGAGGCTGGGGCGTGCCTGAGGGGAGGGGAGTGGGCGCCGTATTAAATGTGACAATTAGACGAGCGCATTTGCTGCGGGACGCATGCGACACATCCGATGTTGTACGTAGACACCGACAAGTTCGTTTACGTCCCCATAGTCCCTACCTTCAAATGGGCCCAACACCTTTCGACGTACCCGGTCCCCGGAGGAAGCGGGCAGAGCCTGAAATTGCGGCTCCCCCCGTACTCGGACGCTTACGGTACCCTTGGCCGCGGGCGCCGCCGCTCCCCGGGGCTGGAGCTCCGCCCCCGGCCGCAGCGCGCGTGCGCGGGGGCATAAAAGCGAGGCCCCCCCGGGCGCGTGGTCAGAGCCCTGGCGGGGGCGGCGCGGCTGCTGCTGCTGCATGGCGCGGGGCGGAGTGCGGCGGCCCGCGGCCCTGGGCCTGGCGCTGCGGCTGCTGCTCGGCTTCGGGCTGCGCCTGGAGGCCGCCCCGACGCCGGTCCCGCTCCGGCTCTTGGCCCAGGCCCCGGGTGAGTGAGCTCCGCGCGCCCCGCGCGCCCCTCGGGCGGCCGCGTCCCGCCCCGCGCCGGCGGCCCTCGCCATTGGCTGTGCGGCCGGGGCGTCCCGGACACTCCCCCGGCACGTGGCCCGAGGCTCGCGCGTGCGGGGCGCCGGGTGGGGACCCCGGGTGGGGACCCCGGGCGCCGCTGAGTGCCGCCTGCGCCTGCTGGCCCCGCACCGCGGCTCAGCTTTGCGGGACCCCTTCCCCCGGCGCGGGCGGGAGGGCGCGGTAGGCTCCCGGTGTCCGCCTCCGGCAGCAGCTGCCTCCTGAACCCTCGCGCGCCCCGGACGCGCTACGGCCCAGGGTTCTGGGCGACCAGCCCCCGCCCTCCCCATCTCCGCGCCCCCCTCCTCTGGCCTCAGGATGAAAGGCTTCTCTCCCTCCCGGTGACTCCGCCCTTGGGCACCTGCTCCTGGGCCTGGTGATCTTGGCGGCCCTCTCCGGGGTTCCCAGAGGCAGCCGGGTGGGGTAGAGCGACCTCTGTAGGCACAGGTGACCCGGGCTCTCAGCTCTGAGCTCAGGTTCACTCACTTGCCCCTTTCCTGCACGATGCCGTCTTACCTGGGCTCCTGCCTCACCCCTTGCGCCGCCGCAGGCTGAATGTTCCTGGGCCCTTTAAGGAGGCAGGACTCACTAACCAAGGACCAGAGTCTACAAGTGGGCTCTGTCCTCAGGACACTGAGGGAGGGACTCCCAGTGTGCTCCTCTACAGGGGAGGGAACTGAGGCTGGGAGGGAAAGGCACTGGTCGCTTCAGCTCCTGTCTCACCCCCCAGCCCTGTGAGGCCTGGTCTGCCGTGCTCTGCTCCCACTTTCAGGAAGAGCGTACACTCCAGCGAGGGAGGTGTGATGTTGGCAGGGCCGGGAGTGGCTAGGCCTGGAGAGGAAGCTGCGCCCAGACCGCCAGACCCCCGTGGGCAGGGAAGGAAGCCAGATCCAGGTTGGCCGCAGCTCTTCCTGGCTTCAAAAGCTCAGGGACCGTGTGGACCACAGGTCTCAATGAGCCTAGAGGCCCGTGGAGGGTGCTGGCTGTGGGGAGAAGGGGGTTTGGAGCCTCAGGCCTCTGAGTAAAGGTGGAGGTGGCAAGAGGACCAGGATGGAATGGAGGGCCACTAGGTTGGGTCCAGGCCACGTGCCCCCCCTCCCCGCCCCCAGGAGGAGAGCCTTAAAAGCCATTCCTTCCCTCCGTCTATCAGACTCCCTCCTGCCGGCCCAGGTTCTAGGCTCTTCTGTGCTCCTCCCCATCAGCATGTAGCCTAAGCCTCACCTCCTGGGGTCCAGGAAGGCTCAGATCTCATCAGGACACAACCTGGACCCTTGTGTGATTTGCGTCTGTACCACCCTGGGCTTGGGGTCATGAGGTCCCGGCCCTGATCGCGCAGTGTCCGGTCTGTGTGGATACCAGTTTGAGGAGCCTTGTTGTAAGTGGAAGGCGGAGCTTCAGGCGGCTCTGAGAGGTGCATGAGACCCCTTCCGAGAAAAAAGCTGAGATCTGAAAACTGAGGAGGAAATCACCAATTGCAGAGTGAGGGGAGGAGGGAGCGCTGGGCCAAGGACCAGCTCAGGCAAAGGCCCTGGGGCAGAAACAAGCAAAGCCTCTCGGAGAACAGTGGGGAGGCCAGGACAGAGGGACCCAGATGAAGAGGAAGAAGGAGGGAGGAGGTGAGGTCCCAGAAGGGTTTGCCACAGGGCTGGGCCAGGCCTTGTGGCCACATAGACAAAGTAGGGATTTGGTGTGAGAGGCTCAGGGGACCAGGGCACGGTTCTGAGCAGAGGGGAGGCAAGGGCCAGTGACTGAATGATGTGACTCTGAGGCTGGAGATGGGGGTGGGGCCTGGCGAAGAGGTGGCACATTCAGGATGGGGACAGTGGTTGGGTCTGGGAGGAGTTTAGGAAGTGAGTGGACAAGCCTTGGTAACTAAGCAGGTCCGCTGCCCGGAGCCTCAGTTTCCCCTTGGCGAAGCAGGTGGGTTATAGTGGGCCCTGCTGACCCTCACCATGGACCCCATCCAGGGCAGTTTCAGAGATGGCCCCTACCCCAGTCTGTCTAACCGCCGATCTTGGGGAGACCATCCAGGCTGGAGCCGGGTAAAAACTCCAGGATCAGTGAGACCTGGGTTCCAAACGAAGCTGCCACCAGCTCCACAGCCCTGGGCCTTGCCTCCCTCCTCGGTGGCTTCTGCAGCATGGGGATGGCAGTCGCACCTGCCCTCCAAGCCTCCAGCACAGTAGGTCCTCAGCAAATTGGTGGCCACCAGTGTCAATCCAGCACCCTGGGACCCGGCCTGCCTCCGGTGGTGGTAGGTGGTCGCAGTCTGTTGGCACTGTGCCCCTGGGGGGAGGGGGCCCGGATCTCACTCTCGCGCATCTTGCAGGCTCGTGCCCACCTGCCAGCTTCCAGTGCCACACCAGTGGCTTCTGTGTGCCCCTCACCCTGCGCTGCGATGGTGACGAGGACTGCCCCGATGGCAGCGATGAGGATGAGTGCAGTGAGTGGCAGAGCACCTGGGGCGGCGGGGAGGCTGGGTGAGTGGGGTGGGGATGGTGGGGCGGGGCCTGAGGGTGGGCAGGGCTTACAGGGTGTCAGGTGTGAGAAGAGGTGGGTTTACTGGGAACCCACTGAGTGGGGCCTTGGGATGAGGGGCTTGCAGCGAGGCCAGTCCGTGGAAGGTGGAGCTAACAAGTGGAAGCCTCTAGGGATGCTGGATTTTCTAGGGTCACCTGTTCCTAGAAGGCAGGCTTACGAGGGGGCCGGGTGGAGGGGCAGAGCCCAGCACTGTGGGTAGGTATCTGCGACCCGACTGACCTTGTACTCCAGGGATCAAGCCTTGTGCCCAGGACGGAGAGTGCCTGCCAGTCACTGGCAGCCCCTGCCCTTGTGACAACATCGATGACTGCCGAGATGGCATCGTGGACAACGTTTACAACTGCAGTTACCAGCCCTGCCCGCCGGGCGAGCTCCGCTGCCTGCGAGGCGGTGCCTGCATCCCACACACCTGGCTCTGCGACGGCCACGCTGACTGTCCCGGCTCCAGTGACGAGCTTGGCTGTGGTGTGTGCCATGGGACTTTGGCGTGTCTGTAGGGGTGGGGAGGGCTGGTCGTTAGATAAGGATGCCTGACACCTTCCGGTGGGTAACCAGGCTGACGGTGTGGATGCTTGCACCTACCCATGCCTGCGTCTCCGTGGGGGCAGCGGAGGATGAGCCCCAGGGTCCCCCGGGTTTTCAGAACACCTGTTTGTCCCCCCTCACCCACGCCCGCAGCACCCACTCCCTAGCTGCTGAAAGGCTGGACTTATTACAGGAACTGAGACCCTCCAGGACAAGACTGCCACGTCCATAGGGACCCCTGTGACCCCAGACGGTGTCACCTCTCTCTGGAATGCCACAGCCATCCCTGCTGAGGACCAGGACTCAGTCCAGGCTGGAAACCGAAGTGCTTGTGGGGTTATCGCAGCTGCAGGTAAGATGGCCAGGCTGTCCTCCTGGGGCTTGGAGCCCCCTGGGGGCAAGGGCTTGGGGAGGGGACAGGCTGCAGATGGCCCTTCCCTGTGTTGCAAGCCCTCGCTGACTCCCGCCGGTCTGCCCCCCCACAGTGGTGCTCAGTGTCGGCGTAGCTGCCATCTCCCTGTTCGTCTTGTCCCGGCTCCGTGCCCAGGGGCGCCTGTACCCGCTGGGGCTGCTCATGGTCATGAAGGAGTCTCTGCTGCTGTCAGAGAGGAAGACCTCGCTACTCTGAGGATGAGCTCGTGCCACCACGGATGGCTCCTGGGCCCCAAGCACGGCCGCTACGGGGACATGTCCATTGGTGGCAGCAGCACACAGCCACTGGCCCCTCGGCCCTCAGATGTGGGTCCTTCTGGCTGTGCAACACCTCAGACTTCAGCTCTTACAGCTGCAGCCCTGTATGTTGGGGGTGCCGGGACGCCCCGCAGAGGCAGGCAGCCTGGCACTGAGGGGCTGGCCCCACGCTCAGACACTCCTGCTGCTCCCATGTGAAGGTGGGGATTAAAGTCACTTCACATCCTCTGCCTGCCTCTGAGCCTCTGTCTCCCTCTGCCCAGGCAGCCAGGGGCCTTTACGCCAGCCCCTCCTCTGTGGCGGGGTGTCCTGAGAGGGTGGGACTCGGGGACCCAGCCCCGGGTGCTCCCTGGGCCACTCTGCGTCTAGCTTCCTGGGACCCAGAGCAGGAGGGGGGCGTCTGGGGCCGCCGGGTGGCCTGCGTTACCCACAGGCTGTGTGCAGAGGAGCAGAACTCGGGCAGTGCCTCCCGGGGGACCGCCATCCACCATGGCTTCGTCCTCCCTCTGCTGGGCATCCCCGGGCTGGTCTGGGCTCCACTCAGCTTTGAAATGGAGATTTTATTATTGTGTGGCTGTAGACTGTTGTAGAAAAGACCGTTCCCAAAGACGGGGACCCACTATGCCACAAGGGGCCACGTGGGGGAAGGAAGCACCAGGGTCAGGAGGCATAGGGAGCGGGAGGAGAATGTGGGCAAAAACCTTTATTGTGGTTCCCGTGGGAAGGGACTGGCGAGGCCGGGTAAGCAGGCCTGGGATTGGCTGGTTTGAATCATCCCAGCAGGCTGTGGGGGTAGGTGCTCTCTGTCCCATAGGTGCCGACCTGCTGACAGTGAGGCCACTGGCTGGGAACGCCTGGGGCGTCGGCCTGAGCCTGTGTTCTGCGTGGCCGGCCCCCACAGACCTCTCCCGTCCGCGGCCAGGGTCAGTGTTGTGGCTGGGCCGGCGCTGGTGGTTCTTGTAATCGCCGCATGCTCTTTAGCAAAGATGACCTGAGACCTTTGAGGAACGAGGGTTATGACTCACACGTCCTGCCCAGAGGGCTCACGCACCCTCGTGGGCCACACAGCAAGATCACAGGAGAGAGAGAGAGAGGCAGTGTGGACCTGGGGCTCTGCCTTTGTTAGGGCCCGACGGTGGGCTGCCCAGGTTTCGTGGGCTCACCCTTTACTGGTGAACCTAAAACATAAGAGAAATTGGGGCTGGACGCAAGTGGGGTCACTCTGGCAGGCAACTATCTAGGCCACCCAGGGCTTTCTGGAAGAGGGAGCTTCATGGCCGGGGAGCCAGGTTCCTTATCTGGCTGTGTTGCCCTGAGCTGGGTCTTACAGCTGGCGATAATGTTTATTCCAGAGACATGCTGGCGGTCAGAGCTCGATGCCAGGAGGTGACAGTGCACCGTCCCTCACTGTTTGCCAGTTGGGCCTGGGGTGGTCAGGGCAGGGAGATACTGACTCGGGGTATGGGCTCTGGACTGATTGGTTGGCACGTGAAATGTGCGCTCCGCTGGTGAGCTGTTCGCCGTCTCTAGGAACTGGCTGACTCCGTGACAGACTGTTCCTCCTGGTGAGGCCCAGGTGTGGGGGATGGTCCCTGCCTTGTCACGAGGCCCCAGGTGTGGGGGATGGTCCCTCCCTGGTCAGCAAGGCCCAGGTGTGGGGGATGGTCCCTGCCTGGTCAGCAAGGCCCCAGGTGTGGGGGACAGTCCCTCCCTGGTCAGCAAGGCCTAGGTGTGGGGGACGGTCCCTCCCTGGTTGGTGAGGTCCGGGTGTGGGGGATGGTCCCTGCATGGTCAGCAAGGCCCAGGTGTGGGGGACGGTCCCTGCCTGGTCAGCGAGGCCACAGGTGCCAGAGCATCAGGAATACAGAAAATCTAGATGATACACACCCTGACTGATGGATGTTGGGGGCAAGTTGTATCTCTGATCCTCATTTTCCTCATTTCCAAATGGAGTAGCCAGGGCCCTCCCCTGCCCCTGGAGCCTCCTTGCAGGGCAGTGACCTTCCTGATGTCCCTGGAGCCAGACTGGGTGTCTGCCACCAGCTGGGCCCATTGCAGCCCACTGCACTCAGGAGAGCACCCAGGATCCCACATCTGGCAGACAGGGAGCTGGTCCCTGACAGTGAGATGCTGGGTAGGAGTAGCATGAGCAGGGCAGCCCGGGTGGCTCAGCGGTTTAGCGCTGCCTTCAGCCCAGGGCCTGATCCTGAAGACCCAGGATCGAGTCCCACGTCGGGCTCCCTACATGGAGCCTGCTTCTCCCTCTCTCTGTGTCTCTGCCTCTCTCTCTGTGTCTCTCATGGATAAATAAATAAAATCTTAAAAAAAAAAAGGGGGATCCCTGGGTGGCGCAGCGGTTTGGCGCCTGCCTTTGGCCCAGGGCGCGATCCTGGACACCTGGGATCGAGTCCCACGTTGGGCTCCCGGTGCATGGGGCCTGCTTCTCCCTCTGCCTGTGTCTCTGCGCCTCTGTGTGTGTGTGTGTGTGTGTGACTATCATAAATAAATTTTAAAAAAATTTAAAAAAAAAGGAGTAGCATGAGCAGGTGCACCAGGGAGAGCTTCCTGGAGGTGGTGAAGTTTGGCTTTGGGGCCCCACCCATGTCCCAGTGCAGGGAAGGTGGTTGAGGGAGGTTTTGGAGTCTGGGCCTTGGGCAGTGAATGAGGGGCTGTGTCAGGCAGTGCCAGGGGCAGCAGGAGGGGAGGCTTGGGGGGTGGGCTGCAGCGACAATGGGGGCCCATCTCCTGGGGTCCGACATCTTCCCACAGCACCCCCACCGGCCCCCCGGAAGCCAGGGCATTACTGAGGCAGAAGTGCAACCATGGGCTTTGTCCACTTGATAGGAAGGCATCCTAGCGCAGGGTAGGATTTCCTTGTTTGTAGGTTTTTGTGTGCGGGCATGGTCAGCATCAGTGCGTCAGAGGGTGTGGACGGGGTGTATGGGGCCACTCGTCACAGGCCACCTAAGCGGAGCTCTGGGTCATTCTTGGGTGTCATGGATTCTTGTTGTCAGTGGAGCAAACTCCTACCCCACCCCCACCCCCACGCCTCTGCGTATTCTCTTTTATGTTTGCTGGCAGCTCTTTTGTTCCACATGAACGGTGGCTGCTGTTCTCTGGGGGCCGGGCTGCTTGGACGTCACCATCTAGGATGTCCATGTCTGACGCCTTGGGATGGGCGGGTCAGCTGGGTCGCTCCCCCTCTATGCGGCCTTTCCATGTGGCCACCCGAGCGGGACAGCCTTACCTCTTTCGTAGCAGCTCAGGGCTTCTCGGACTGTAGGGCTGAGGCCACCAGGCCTCCTCAAGCTTCGGCCTGGAACTGGGCCAGCATCACTTCTGATGCATTCTCTTGCTCCCATGGAGTCCCAGGTCAGCCCAGACATGCACGGGGACCACACGAGGATGTGAACACCAGGAGGACCTGTATCATGGTCCCATCCTTGCAGACCAGCTTCCACGAAGGGGGCAGAGGGCATGAGCTGAGGACAGGACAGGCAGGGCTGGGGGACTCCCCATCCCCTTGAGCCAGCTGACGACCTGTGGGCTCATGGCTTTGCTCTCAGGTTCAGCTTTGTCATCTGCATGCTGGGACAGTCACAGGTACACATGTCTGTCGTTCTGAGCAGGCTGGGGTTTCAGCTGCCTCAGTTCCCTAGAGCAGGGCTCGCTCTGCTGTCCCGTGCAGCAAGCTCAATGAGTCACTTCCAGGAAACTGTAGAGATGGTCCAAGTTTTTTTTTTTTTTTTTTTAAAGATTTTATTTATTTATAGAGACACAGAGAGAGAGAGGCAGAGACACAGGCAGAGGGAGAAGCAGGCTCCATGCAGGGAGCCTGACGTAGGACTGGACCCAGGGTCTCCAGGATCACGCCCCAGGCTGCAGCCGGCGCCAAACCGCTGTGCCACCGGGGCTGCCTGAGATGGTCCAAGTTTTAAAAGTGTGTGTGTGGTGTGTGTGTGTCGGGGGGCGGTTCTGGGGAGCTCAGGAGGAGGGGATGGGTGGACCGTGGCAGGTGGCTGGGAAGGGATGGGGTGGGGTGGGGGCTGCAAGTGAGGATGGGAGCAGGATGGAGGGGTGTATCTCTGTATAACTCTTGCCATTCCTCTTTTTTTTTTTATTGAGGATAAATTCATGTTAGATTAACCATTGACCAGTTTAAAGTGAACAACTCAGGGGTGCTGAGTTGGATGGCTCAGTCGCTTAAGCATCTGCCTACAGCTAAGGTCATGGAACCGGGGTCCTGGGATGGAGCCCTGCATTGGGCTCCCTGCTCAGTGGGGTGTCTGCTTCTCCTTCTCCCTCTGCCACTCTGCCTACTTGTGCTCTCTCTGTGTCAAATTAAGTAAAATCTTAAGAAAAAGTGGACAACTCAGTGGCAATTTAGTACATTGACAGTGTTGCACACCCATCCCTTCTGTATAATTCTAAGAACTTTCCATCCCCCCCCAAAAGAAACCCTGCCCCCATTAGCCTTCTCTCCCCATCCCCTCCCCCAGTTCCCAGCACCTAATAACCCACTCTCTGTAGATGTACCTGTTCTGGATATTTCATATGGATGGAATCCTACCATCGGTGGCCTTTGAGGCCTGGCTTCTTTCACTGAGCATCACATTTTAAAAGGTCTTCCCCCAAAGTTTCCTTGTGCCCCCCCTTTTTTTACCTCCTACTCATGACCCAGGCAGCTACTGATCTATAGATTCATTGCATTTTTTTAAAGATTTTATTTATTTATTTATTTATTTATTTATTTATTTATTTATTTATTTGAGACACGGACGTTGTGGGGGGCAGAGACACAGGCAGAGGGAGAAGCAGGTTCCATGCAGACGGCCCGATGTGGGACTCGATCCCGGGTCTCCAGGATCAGGCCCTGGGCCGAAGGCGGTGCTAAATCGCTGAGCCACCCAGGCTACCCTGCATTTCTATTTTTTTTTATTTTTTTATTTTTTTATTTTTTTTTTTCTATTTTTTTTTTTAAATTTAATTTAATTTAATTTAATTTAATTTAATTTATTTATGATGGGCACACAGTGAGAGAGAGAGAGAGGCAGAGACATAGGCAGAGGGAGAAGCAGGCTCCATGCACTGGGAGCCTGATGTGGGATTCGATCCCACGTCTCCAGGATCGCGCCCTGGGCCAAAGGCAGGCGCTAAACCGCTGTGCCACCCAGGGATCCCTGCATTTCTATTTTTAAAAAATATTTAAATAATCTCTTCACCCAATA